AATATTCCTGTAACTTTATTTTGTCGACAAAGTCGTGAGCACTACTGCTGTTTTTGGGAACTTGCTCCTGTGCTCGGGTACACATGTGCACCGCACGCACACCCCTCTTGCCTCCCGTCCAAGTTGTGAACGTCGACGTTCGGTAGTGAGCGAGGTGCACTGCTGCTTTCGTTGGTTTTTCGACGCGGGGGAACGGTCTCTGCGCTTGTGCGTAAGCAAAGGATAGCGCTTTCGTCTCCTGCGCACATGACCATGGCGGCACGCGGCATCGTTGAGCAACAACATGACACGGAATCTGTTGAGGTCACCCGCGGGCCCGCCCAGGAGGGCGGGCCAAGCGCGCTGTCGAGCAACGAAGGGGCGCGCCAGCACGCAGTCCAGGTACGGCTCGGCCTTTGTCGGCAAATCGTGGTATGCACAGCGTAGCAGCTGGGCAGGTGTGTAGAGTATAGCGGGTACCACTACATACATGCTGGCTCGTGAAGTTGTTGTTCCGCGTTCGTGGCGCGGGCGGTGCGTGTGTGTCGCCGTTGCTGGCGGGCTTACCAGCGCCAACTCGCGTGTGCACGGCAAGGCCAAAACTCGCCAACTTTTTTTCGACGACGCCAAGAGGGTGCGACTCTGGGCGTGACATGGCATCGACTGACTTGTAGTTGGGCAGCTGACAAGATTTTTGGATTTCCTCCGCGCACCTGCGTGCTTATGGGAGCAGAGGGCCAACGCATAGTCTACACACAGGTGGCCTGTGGGCACGGTTCCGGAGGGGTTAAAGTGACCTGTAACCCCTAGACGTTGTACAACCTGCGTAACCCGGTCGGGCACACCGTTGCCAACCTCCAAGGTCAGGCAGGGTTCGGAAACGCCGGCCCAAACACAGTCAAGGGACATTTGTATCTGTGCTTGGTTGCAGGCGAGGTTGTTCAAGCCCGAGAATGTCCATGCCTTGCCGCGAAAACTATGTACCAGCCGGTGTCCACAGAGTACATGCACGACACACCGGTTTTTTGGACATTCGCGGCAATAAAAACAAGAAGCTTCAAGAGTGCCGGCATTTGTAAGCCCGATTTTATAGTTGACTACCGTTAGACGCGCCAACATGAAAACAGTACACCCCCCCCATCTCCGCGCTAGTACTATTTTCAAAGGAACCTCCTCCTCGCCGCTGATCTGCAACCAACTGCCCACCGGTCACCCCGCGAGTAGCCCCTCAACCCTTCGTGAGTGCTTATTATCTTGCAGCTGTCGCGTATTGGGGCCTCTGTTCTTACACCACAAAGAAAGGCGGGTTCGTTCTTGTTCTTAACACGACGTCGGGCCTGAGCACGCACGTGTTGTTATTGTTATCATGTGGTCAATTTCTTCGATGTTGATTTTTTTCGAGGCCGCATTTCTTAACTGCCAAGTTCTTAAGTGCGAGCGCCATCTTTATCTTCTGATCATGATAGTGCCGGAAGCAACACAGACATGGGCCTACTCGATTTGATATATACATTATTGCGTAGAACACGCACGGCAATGATCGGGGGGCAAAGCAAAGACTGAGAAAAAGAGAGCGAGAGAGAGTAGGCGATGATTACTATAAACATGCGCTGCCTCTCTCTGTAAAAGTCAATACGACAACACGTACGTACGTACGTCTGTCTCCTAAGAATATATTATAATGGCCGAATGAAGTATCAATTAAAAAACAAGCTCTACTGAAAATAATTGCGCGCTCAGCATTAAATAATTATTTTCCACTTCGTATATATATGTTGTTGCTGCTGTGGAACATAAAAACTTAGCTGACCAAAAACTTGCCATTGAACGATTGGTAATGGAAGACGTTACTCGGAGTTTCTGCTTTTTGCGTGGGGGGGACGGCAGAGTAAGTGTGCTCTTATCGGCCGCGTGGGTGGGTGTTGCCACAATTGTTCCCGCCCCCATCACTATCCCCGGTGTTTGTCATCGGGGTTGGGTTTTCGTCGCTTGGCAACGACGTTGTAAAACAAGCCAATTCACTTCGTGAACTCGGCAACCAGGTTACCGTTTTTCTTTTTACCTCCGTTTTTTTTGGCGGTAACCATAATGGTGGTCGAGTAGATCATGTTGTGCGGGGTGGAGAACCCTCACTCCGCGCAAGGGGGGTGATCGCACCACGTTGTGTTAAAGTGTTCAAGCACCCTCGAGGCAGTTACACCTTGCTTACAACTGTCTCTGGAAGTGAAAGCACCAGAAAGTAAATTAAGTCATACGCAGCTGTCATCCGTACGCAAGGNCCCCCCCGCCCCCCCCCCCATCACTACAGATTCATGGAATTTGAGAGGAAGACATTATATGCTTGAACATATAGCAAAGCGGTGTCCCGATAAATTCTGTTGATACAGGTTGCTGGTTCGATCCCCTCCGCGTCATGTGTTCTTCCTGCGCTAATCATCTCGAAGGAGAGGGAGGTTGTATGCCGATGTATCGCTTGTTTAACCCACCCGTAGAGTGGAATACAATGGAAGGGAGAGGAAAGCTCACACAAAAAAAAACTTTTCTCCTCCTTCACACCAATCCGCGCAAAACCGCTTTCGTAACCCGGCACGTTATGCCCGCTCGGCCTGTAACCCCCCACGTTATCCCATGTAATAACCCTTCGTTGGCCGGAGGTTACACTACACCCCCGTACAACCGTGCCCACTGGCCACCTGAGCAGTGTAGAGCCGGCACGAGCTCCAGCAGGAGCGCTGTCTCGGTGCTACGTTGTTCGCAACAGAATGAGTGGCAGACGGCCGGCCCGGTGCGGTCGAACATGTGTAGACTACTGTATCTATTCCGCCATGTAAATATTGTACGATGTTCGTTGTGACGGCGAATGATTCCGATTCCGCTTCCGAGAATTACAGCCATCTAGCATACCAAGCTGTTGCAAGCTTGGCGTTCATTTTGAAATGTCGTGTGCGATCATGTCCTATATACGATGGTTGCACAACACAAAAGCCGTAAAATGACCATCGACTGAGCCAATATCTTCTTGTCCGTGGGGACAGGGGGGCAGCGATTCCTCCTGTTTCCTCTTACATGTTTTGCAACTTTTGCTGCCTGAGATTCACGGCAGGGAGTGATGATGTGCACCAAACAATTCCCAAGGCTCACGCCAGTCTGGCGCTTGGCACCACCGGCGTTGTGTTGTCTTGTGGTGCACACTGGTGTTGGTCGACTCAGCAGGTTGTTTCTCTTTCACCAGTCGTCATCTCTAGCTCCACGCTACCATCACGTCCTCGACACGAGACCGCAAACATTGCACGAACCAATCTCTGGAATGACGTCGTGCGTATGCTCTGCCTTTCTTTGCTGCCTTTCTTTGCCGCCACCACGCTGGATCACTCGGTTGGGTTGTCGAACAAGGCTACCGTGAGCGATGCTCCCGAGGACGTGGTGATGTCTTCGTTGTCATGGTTGGATGGACCAGACCTCGGTAAGGCTATGGCCGTCTCCAGGCGTTGGCACCGTATCGGGGGATCAGATTTCATGTGGCTCCCCCTATACTCTCGCAGGTATGGAATTGTTGTTGTTGTTGTCGTTGTTGTTGTTGTTGTCGTTGTTGTTGTTGTTGTTGTTGTTGTTGTTGTTGTTGTTGTTGTTGTTGTTGTTGTTGTTGTTGTTGTTGTTTCTCACATTAGCTCTTTAGTCCACAATAAAATGGGGAGCCCGTGGTCTCAAAACCCGGCACATACGACGCCGCGGGGAAACAAAACAAAAATAGGGTACAGCCCACTCGGAAAAAGAAAACAAAATGATAAAAAGAAAAGAACACGTACCGCACCGACCGTTCGAGAAAAAAGCCCTCGGAAACTGATTAAAGAAAAACAATAATAAAAAATATACATACAGGAGGACGCTTCCCACACCCTCCTAAAGAAAAATCAAAGGGGAACGTACCAACACCAGGCACTACGCATCAGGGCATGGGAGTAACGGAGCAAACAGGACAAAGAGGCGGCAGATGGGCAGACAGCCAGATGTACAACAACAAAAGCAACAGCAAAAGCGAGATCAAGGTACCGAACATAGCAGAGTAGGCAGGGAGGGCATGAAAAAAAAAGAAACACAGCACAGAGGCCGAAGGCAATACAGAGGACATACATAAAGGAGTATGGCATACAGCAGGGAGGGAAACAGGGCACAACAACATCAGCCGGGTACATAGTTCGCCACAAGTGCTGCCTCGGCCGCCCTACTCGCTTCTACAGCAGTGCCCGGTCGCCGTTTCTTCCCCCCCACCGCCGCTTCGCCGGTTCTCGTTCTCTTCGGTCCTGAGATGGTCGTACTCTCTGCTTCTGCTTCCCTCGCGCGCTGGCGCTTCGCGGACGCTTCCGCCTCCTGCCTGTGCCATTTCCTCATGAACCATGCCGCCCCGTCCTCGACCTTGTTGTACCACACCTCCGGGTCCTTGGCGCTCTCTTTCCATTTACCCCCTTCCTTTTCGTCTCCCATGTTGAAGGCCATTAGGTCCTCTCCTAGACGAGACACCCAGTCGCTCTCCTGCCCGCCCCGGTATCCCACGCCCCCCGCCATCGCTCCTAACAGCATGCGCTTGGGGAGGCGGCTGTCCTCCATGCGCATAACAAAGCCCGCGAAACACAGTCTCCGTTTGCGTGCGGTGGCCTCGATGGTTTCCTCGC